ATTGAGAACTCTAGCCCAGAAAGCCGGTGTTGTAGCCCTTCCCTACCAAAGCCACCCACCCCTCTCAACTTGCTCTTTTCCCACTAGTCCCAACCTCTGGTGGCCTGCAGCTTCCAATACCTACTGGGCTCCCCTGCTGAGGGATCAGGGTTCTTGGCTTCAAGCTGGGCCCTGAGCTTACAGTAGGGCCTGGCTCTTCTCACTGCCCTGGGACACCTGCTTACTGTCTGCTCGATCTCTGAAGCCTCCTCCCTGGGCATGCGGTCCAGGAAGTCGTTGTAATGCTTTAGGCCAATGGCTTGCTGGCTGGTTAGAGAGGCCTGGGTGCGGATATCTTCTAGGCTCCGGAAACCCTGGAAAAAAGAAGCCAGATGGAAAGACTATGAGGATCCAGGGCCAATGAAGAAGTAGTGAATGAGCACATTCACGAGGCCTCCATCACTCCCAGACTCCGAGGCAGGCCTGAGGCAGGACCAACCCCATGATTGGTTCAATCTGTAATCAGTGGGACTTGGGAAAGGCAGAGGCATGGGGGACACACCCCAATCCAGCCCTGCCACAATCCTAGAACACTGGTTCATGATTCCATCAGTCTAGGGATGATTCTAGGCATGGCCAGGTTTGGAAACCACTGATCTGGATGCTCAGCCCTGAGGCTTGGTCTCCTCAGGAAGGCTCTTGCTGGTCTAGGGGACAGAGAAACATATGGTTTGCACTGCTTACACCACATATCAAGGACACCAAGCAATCAGGTAGTTCTGGGAGCCAAGAGAAGGACCTGCATGAGCCCTGGTCCCTTTGAACAGTCGTTTCCCTATTTATCTGGGTTCTTTCCCATCAGAGCACAGGACATCAACTGTGGGCCAGGAGCCCTAAGACAGAGAAAAACTGAAGTAGGGGCTGGGACAGGGTGTGACCTGATGGTACCACATCTGGGCAGTCTTGGTTCCAGCGCCCCAGATGTTGGAGAAGAGCTCTAAGACAGGCACGCTCTCGCTGATGTGGTCCAGCTTCCGCAGATGCCCACTCTCCAGGATCTCCACGATCTTCTCAGCCATCCGCTTTCCAATCCCAGGGATACTAAAGGCCTCCTAGAGGAAGAGGAGGCAGAGGCAGGAAAGAAGGGTGAGAAGATGGGAGGGGCAGAGCCAATGGTGGAGAAGCGGACTCCGTTAGCAGATGTCTGAGTAAAAGCCAGTCTGGCTGGTTGGCAGCTGATAGCTGTGTAAAGCTTGGGTACATTTAAGATGAGAGGTTTTGATGGAATGGGCTGGGTAACTTGTCTTTTAGTTCCCAGAGGGATGGAGATCAGCACAGGAAACAGAGGAAAGGCAATACTGATGATACTAGTCACAGTTACAACAGTGGAGCTATCGTTTACTGAGGCTTTATCGTGTATCAGGTCCTGCACTGCAGGGGTCATAGCATTTAGTCCTCCCAGCAGCACTGCATTTGTGACTTGTCTTAGTCCCTTTTTATTGATGAGGAAACTAATGCTCAAAGGGTTTAAGTAATTTGCCTAAAGTCACACAGGCAGTGAATGATGGGAACTAGGATTCAGTCTCTGGTCTTTTGACTCCCAGAGTATAAAAAACTTTTTATTATGGGAAAAAATTCCAAAGTAGAGAGAATAGTATAACGAATCTCCAAGTACCCATCACCCAGCTTCTGTAATTATCAAGATTTTGCCAATCTGCTTTCATCAATCTCCCAATTATTTTTTCTTTTGTGCAAGCCCCAGATATCATAAAACCTTAACCACTCCACCTGATCCCTACTTGTGTCTGGTGCCTCCACCAGCCTCTGGCCAGTAAAGAGAAGACCCTCCACATACCCTCCCCTGGCCCCCAGGTACCTGGTAGGAGGTGACAGGCTTGTGGAAGCTCTTGAGGGCATTGATGGCCTTGGCATAGCCCAGGGCCCTCCACTTGTCTCCCTGAACACTGTAGGCTTTGGCCAGCACTTCCAGCTTCTCTGTGATGTGGGTGTTGTGGTTGGTTGCCTTCTGGCTTGATGGCTGTGCACAGACCCACTTAGCCAGGCCCTCAGGTGCTGGGCTAGGCCCACCATCTCCCTCAAGGGGAGTAGGGTAGCGGCCACTGATCAGGGCTTCCAGATCAGCTGAGCTAACCTGAGTCTCTTCCCCATCACTGGTTTCATCATCAGAGTCAGGCTTGAGGATGGGAAGGAGAAGAGACAGTAAGTTTATGCCCCTCAGGAGGAGGGCTCCTCAGAGGTGGGGGTTGTTTCCTAGTCAGACCCAAGAATAAGGCTGGGTCCTCTGCATCATATTTGGGTCTCCTTAAGTGTGGGGCTGTGTTCCATCTGGCTCCCCGCCGTGCCCAGCCCTAGGCCCCCCAGAGGTATGTGGTAAATGCAGGAGTGAGAAGTGGTGGAAAGAGCTAAATGGCTTCCCAGTAAAGAGAGCCCTCCTCTCTCAGGGGCCTGGGACTTTCTGAACAACCGCCCAAGGACTCATCACCCAGCTTCTATAATTATCATTCCTGTTTCTGTGATTTAATTCCCAGGGGAAGGGAACAGTGGGGGTTGGGAGGCTCCTGACCTGGGCTTGCGTGCTTGCAACCTCCTCTGCCCTCGGGGAAGGAGGTACAGGTCTCACGGGAGGAGGGGAAGGAGAGGGGGCTGTCCTGAGCTGAGCCTCACAGTCTCCAGGAGGAGAACAGTCTTGGTCTGCCTTGCTGAGCTGTGCTTGATCCAGGTACCTGCAGGGATGGTGATGGAAGGTTAAGACACCAAAGGTCTCACCCTGTCTCTGCTCTCAATCCTTCTCTACTCTGAAATCTTGGTTTTTTACTGTATCCAGTTAAGACAATGAGAGTTATTCTTAATAACTCAAGAAGAGTGCTGAAGAAAACATTTGAGGAAAGACTAAGACCAGCCTACCTCTTGGGGATGAAGATGCTGAATGCTGCCGTGTCCACCAGCCTTCTCTCCTGCAGGCACAAGCTCAGCCAGGCTGACTTCACCAGCTGAGCACCTGAGGGCAGCCGGGGCAGTCTCAGGAGGCGGAGGGCTCGCTCCCAGTCCATGCCTTCATCCACCACAATGTGAGTGACCCCAGGGGTCTGGGCTGGGCATATCTGGCCACCATGCTGGACAATCTGATTCTCAAAGAGTTCTGCCCGGGCTCGCCCAATGCCAGTGGGCACAACATGTGCCCGCACGGAGCTCAGCCACTCTGTGGAGGGGACATCCAGATGCCTACTGTCATAGCTTTCAGACATGATCCAAATGAACCCTTCACAGTCCCCTTCCCCCAATCATTTTCCTCCACCCAGCCTGCCTGCTTTCTGGGGCTTCTACTACCAGCATACAGTTAATTTCCTCATGGGTCATCACTTGATGTAAGGGCAAGGATGTAACCTAGAACAACATCTGGCACATTGTGGGCATCCTATAAATAATTTATTTGATCATTTATACTTTCAACAAATATTAGTAGACACCTATTATGTATCAGGCACAAGGCACATGTTTTGCAATTTCAGGTCTCATCATCTAAGATTCCCCTCTCCCCACCCAGCCCACCATGTAAGTTTTTGCCATCTATTTGTCAATTTGGCTGCAAAATAAGTTATAATTCTGGGGACCTGAGAAGGCTCCCCCTGCCCTTCCCTGGGGCAGGCAACCTCCTGGAGAGCAAAGGATTCTGCTAGTTATTTCCTTAGGGACCAGGGAATATTTTCAGGTTGATAGAGGTCTCGGGTGGGGTAGAAGATAAGAGCAAGTGGTCTGTCAAAGACTGGGGACCGAGCCTAGTATAAGGCAGGTACAAACAAACCTGCAGGCTGCTGGTGGGCAGTCAGCTGTAATATCTGATTCTGGACATGAACTATGTAGGAAGCCTGAGGTTCAAACACACAAGGGTTCTGAAACTCACCTCCTGTTCCTTCTCTGTCTTCTCTCTTGAGAATCTTTGTAAGTGCTTTTGATGATGGATTGGTATGAATTTTCTTCCGTTTGGGAAATGCCTTCAGGATGCCCCTGGGGTCCATTGAGATATGGCTGGATCCTGGCCTTTCTACTGGAGGGTTGTTCAGGGCACCTATCATGTGAAAACTCAGAATTGAGGCTCCCCTACTCTGACCATGAAGGTGGAGTCTTTGCTGACCAGGGCTTGGGGTTTGTAGCCCAGTTCCCAGGGGTCTCCCAAAACCCAGTTGAACTTGGGTGGTCTAGCCTAGCTCTACACTTACTAGCCTTTCAAAGTCAGAGTACTGGGGAAGATGAGAGGAAGAGTGGAACTATTGGGGGAACTTTTGCGGGGTACCAAACGATATCATTCCTCAGGCGGTTTACTCTGAAGATTCAGTGTGCAGTGTCTGCTCCTGCTGCATCCCACTTCCAAAGGGAATCCAGAATGGGATGCAGGCTAGGAAATGGAGCTACATCTTTAAGAAGGACTTGGGCTCCCAAGAGGAGTGGGGACTGAGGGGAACTTGAATGTAATCTTTCTTTACCTCCATCACAGACCCGCAGAGGAAAACTGGGTGGGGGACGGGTGGCAGGTGGAGGTTAGAGAGGCGAGGGTAACGCCCTGCACCTGCCCGGGTCTCAAACAGCTCGGCATCAGGGGCGCACAGGCCCTCAGCTGCTGGGAGATCTGCGGCCGCAGCACGTGTGGGGAGACTTCCGGGACTGGGGGAGTCTCGGCCTCACAGCTGGGGGTGAAGTCTCCGGCAGGTGTGGGGCACCCGCCGCATGCGCAGCTGGCGCGCGGCAGGCATTCTCAGTTGGGGGCCAGGGGAGTGCTGGGGTGTCCGGACCCTCTCTGAGGGCTCATTCCCATTCCTCGGATTCGGTCCAGTATGGGGTCAACTCCAAGCCGGATAGGTCACCCGGGGTAGGCAGGAGTAAAGTACTTACCAGAACAGCCAATGAGAGCGAACTAAGGGTGTATGTTGGCGGGGGGTGGGGCAGGAAAAGTAAGTGCCAAGAATATCTTCCGGGTCAGCCGGAAGTGACCTTAGACGGAACAGGTTGCCATGGCAGTTGCCCGGCAAGCGGCGGGGCGGAGGAAACATGGCGGTGACCGGCTGGCTGGAGAGTTTGCGGGCAGCGGAGAAGACGGCGTTGCTGCAGGACGGTAACTCGAGGTCCTTCGCGAGCTCCCTCGTCCTTTCCCCCAGTGTCCGGCCCTCCGCCCTGGTGCCTCTGGGAGGGGGCCTCAGCCTGGGACGGCAGGGCTGGAAGGTCGCGGCCACCAGCCAGGCTAGGTCCTGCATTTGCCGATGAGGAAACTGAGGTCCAGAGAGATGACGTGACTGGAACACGCATTTCTGAACAACCCTTGTTTCCTTAATTCCACCTCGCTCGGCTCTCAGCTCTGTTACTAACAGATAATAATTCCTTTCACATTCATTATGTTATTTGCTTCTTACCGCTGTCTCGAGAGGTTGTTAATTTTCCACCCCATTTTACGGAGAGGAAACTGAAATCCCAGAACTTAGACCAGCCCCAGCTCCTTTAGTCAGTCAGTGGTACAACTGAATCCTGACCCGGGATCCAGTGAGCCTCAAATCGGAGGTTCTATTGCTGAAAGCAGCCTGGTGTTATAGAGAGGGAGGACCTGGGCTCTAGTTACAACTCAGTTAATTTACCGTGGACTCTCCAATCCTCCTCTTTACTTGTTTGACCCTCACTTTCCTCCTTTGTAAAATGAGATGGATGGATTATCACTATTATCTCAAAGGGCCTTTCTAGCTGTAATATTATGTTTGTAAGTGAACGTCTAAATGTTTCCTGGGTCGTTAGGCGAGACAGAGCAACGGCCCCCCAGGGCTGGAAGCTTTAAGGTCCCTTCCTAGACCCATTTGGCAGCCAGAATGAATTAGGTCTGAATTCCTGTAGCTTTCAGGAAACCAGCAGATTGACATCCACAGGCGAGGCCAATCCGGAAAACGTGAAAATTGAAATCAGCTGGTCATTTGCTTATTTATTCACGCATTTAGGGATGCTTTTACTAGGCGCTGAGTTGTGTACTAGAGCAGATAGAAAGAAAAAGACATGTCCCAGGAGTTCACAGGGTGGTCAGGAAAAAGAAACGTAAAAAAAAATAAGAATGTGTTTAATAAAGGTTGGACTCTTCTATAAAATGCAATGAGGCTACAGAGGTGAAATGATTATCTTTTTGAAGGAAGACCTGACAGAACAGGTGGTGTTTATGGGTCCTAAAAAATGAATAGGTTGCTAAGTAGAGAAGAGGAGTTAGTTATTCCAGAGAGAATGACTTATGTGTAATGGCACAGAGGTTTGAAAGTATATGACTGATTACTAGCGGCCTAACAAAACATTTTGGGAGGCTGAAGCATCCACTCCATCATATTTTCCCCCTGCACTGTGTCAGTTACTAGGTGCTAGGACGCCAGGCTGCAAGGGTGTGTATAAAAGGTCTCTTTTCTCAAGGAGCATTGAAGGGAAATGGTGGAAAATGAAGAGAGATTGCAGATAAATTGCTGTATGTTGTAATAGATCTCCTATGCCAAACTTAAGTTTCTGAATATTATCTCATAGGATGGTGGTTTTTGTTTTTATTGTAAGAAACACATAACATAGAATTTACCATTTTAATCATTTTTAACTGTACAGTTCTGTGGCATTAAGTACATTCATATTATCGTGCAGCCATCACCACCATCCATCTCCAGAACTTTTTCATCATCTTCAGCTGAAACTCTGTACTCATTAAACACTAACTCCCCAATCTCCCTATCCTCAGCTCCTGGCAGTCATCATTCTACTGTCTGTCTTTATGAATTTGATTATAGCAGGAAACTCAAATAAGTGGAGTCATACAATATTTGTCCTTTTGTGGCTGGCTTATTTCACTTAGCATCATGTCTTCAAGGTTCAACCATCTTGTGTGTGTCAAAATTTTCTCCCTTTTTAAGGCTGAATAATATTCTTCCTTTGTGTGTGTGTGTGTGTGTGTGTGTGTGTGTGTGTATATATATATATATATATACACCACATTTTGTTTATCCATTGGTCTGTTGATGGGTATTTGGGTTGCTTCTGTTTTTTTTTATTGTGAATAATTACTGCTGTGAACATGGGTGTACAAATATCTATTCAAGTCCCTGCTTTCACTTCTTTTGGTCACAGGACACTGTTTAAACAAATATTTCATCAGCGAGGATTTTGTTAAGTTTTTTGGTTAGTAACATCACAAAACAAGATTGTTAGGGTTCCTCCCCTAATCCAAAAATAGAAAACAAACAAAAACCCCCAAAATATATGGATACACTTCTTAGCAAACCTCTCCTGTATGTAGATTTGCCCTCCTAATGTGTATGTGGGTGGGTGGGGCATACTACTCTTTCCCACCAAGAATCACTTTTGTTGGTAATGACAACCCAATACACTTTTTCATAAATAATTTATGTTCGTTATAGACAAAAGGAAAAATAAAGTCACCCATAATCCCACCATCCAGAGATAATCACAATTGACTGTTTTTTTCTTTCTTTTTAAGAAAAATTAAAAAAAATCTTGGGGGGGGAGGTAATTAGGTTTTCTGTTTGTTTGTTTTAATGGAGGTACTGGGGATTGAACCCAGGACCTTGTGCATGCCTTGCTACACCCGTCCCCCTACAATTGACATTTTCATACAGAAACTTCTGTATGCATACACACTCACACATACATATTTTTTCATTCACCAAAATATACTAATGTACTTAAAATTTTTTAGCTCTACATACAAATAATAGAATAACTATGTATTAGAATAAAGTATAGCTAGACACTATATGATCTTGGGTAAGCGAGGATATTCTAAACACAACTTCTGGGTAGTAACCACAAAGGAAAAAATAATTCACTATATAAAAATTAAATTGTTTGGGAAAACCCACTTTAAACAAAGTTAAAATGCAGTTAAAACTGAGAGTATTTGCAACATATATGACATGTGGTTAATATATACAAAACTCAATCAGATTAGTAAGAAAAATATGAATACCCAAATAGGCTAAGGCCTAAACAGGCAGTTCAGTAGAAACATGAACAATAAACACTTGGAACCGTGTTCAACCTTACAAATATTAAAAGCCATACAGACTGTCCTGGTATGGTTATTAGAGCATGGACTTTGGCCTCAAGTGAGTGTAAGCCCAGGCCTGTCATTTCCCCGCTTTGTAACCTTGGACACGTTACATGACCTTTAAGCCTCAAATTTCCTTATTTGTGAAATAGAACTACTAGAGGCACATAGGATTATTGTGAGAATTAAATGCAGTAATACACGTAAAGTGCCTGGCCCGTAGTAAGCACTGCATCCTGCTTGTACTTAACAGCAGACTCCAGGGGAGAAGAGGATCAGGCCAGACACCCTCAGCCACTCACAGGCAGCACCTTGTACCGCTACTGACAGGAAACCTCTTCTAGCTCTATGAGCCAAACAAATGGTTAAGGGTGGTGTAACCTAGCGGCATACTGAGAGGCCCTGCAAATTTGGGCGTGAGTTTCCCCAGAATACAAATTAGGACTGACTGACTCAAGGGAACTATGTCTCAGGGGAGTGAATCTGACAGGAAAAAGACTTGGTAGATCAGATACAGTTGCAAGTTTGGCTAGTGGTACCTTTAGCTGGCTAAGGGCCTTGGGGCTCTATTCATCAAGAATAGGTTGGGTGCCTGTCTACTGGGCATTAATCCTCTGGTATTCACTTCACTGGGGAACCTACTTGTATCTACTTAACTATTTGTAAAAATAGGAGAAATTATATAGCCACTTTTAAGAAAATGCTTATGATTATACTGCATGGGTGGGAAAGTTGGGCTAGGAGATGCCTTTGGGTTCTTCCATTCTTTCAGTGAAAGATGAATCAATGTTTTTTCTTTCAGTCAGTATTTAGTTGAGCTCTTAAACTGTGCCAGGCACTATGCTTGGTGTTGGGGAAGCCATGGGTAGGGTGGATAAAACCCCTCCTATCTTAGTAGAAGAGACAGCCAATAAAAAAAAAAATCACATAAATAGATGTAAAATCATCACCAAGGTAAATGCCATGAAGAAAACACATGGAGACTACCATCGTGTGGCTGTGCACTAGGAATGGCCTAAAGATGTGCAGAAGAAGGCAGAGCCAGGGCACAGCTAGAGGGAGTGCTTGGTAGGGAAACCCAGTTCAGTATCCTGAGCATATAGGCTTGGTTTTAGGAACTGGGGAGAGAAAGATAAACATGATATCATTCTTAAAACAGATGTTTTTAAAAGTATCATACTGTGTGATAAATGCTCCACTATGGATATGGATAAAGCACTAGGGAGGCATAAACAAGGAAGCGGTGGCTTTACCAGGGTGGCTAGGGGTGATAGTTTAGGAAGACCTCCCAGTGGAAGTGACATTTGAGCTGAATTTTGAAGGGCAAGGAGTTGTTCAACAGTTGGGAAGAAGTTTGGAGCTATTGCTGGTGGAAGAATCAGCTGAGCCAAGACACTTTCAGAGAAAGTTTCAGAAAGAGAGTCCCAGGACATGTCTTAAAGTAATGGTGGGTGATGGTTGGCAAGGAGTTTGTGGGAGGCTCTGGGAAGATTTTTTAATACACCCAAGGCTGTTAATGTTTCCCAGGTAGATCCTTGACTTGCAAGGCCCAAGGCAAGAGGAGGCTTAGGGGTAAGGCACTCTCTGCTTTGTGCCTAGGGAGAAGGAAGGTGCACTATTTGTTCCCAGATGGGAAGGAGATGGCCGAAGAATATGATGAGAAGACAAGTGAACTACTTGGTAAGTGATGGGGCTCCCAGAGGGCCCTTAGGAACACTTGGGGTGATGTATACACAGGTTACCTCACTGAGTTGAGGCTTCACGGAGGAGCCCAGCACCACGTGTGGAAGCTAGGGGAGACCGAGGCCCTTGAGGCAAGATTGTTCCTGAGAATAATCTGAAGTCAGGGCTGGACACCAGAGATGGAGTGGGAGCCTGCTGGACCAGTAAACCTCAGTCCATCCCTAGACAAATGAGTGAGAAATTCTTCTAAGGTGGGAATAGGGATGTAGAGAAACCATTGGGAAAAACTTTACAGAGAATGTGGAATTGGAAGTAAACGTCAGCTGAGTAGTGGTAAGGGCTGGTGTTCCCTGTAATTTTTTCACTTGTTTTTTGTTCTGTTTCCTGAAGCTACATCAGGAACAAGCAAATATCAGAGGCAGCAGCCTTTGACCTTGCCTCAGAGGCAGCTCTATTAAATATGTCCCTCATCTTGGAGAATGTCTGAATCAAAGGGAGTAGGAGGTAGAAATGGTGATCTTGCAGCATTGTTACTTTCATTCCTGCAGGCTTTTTCCTCTAAGAATAGGCTTATGAAGAGGGGCTGTAGCTTGGATTTCTGGGAATTATTTGATCTGTCCATTCTCTTTTCTCAGGTATGCATATCAACATTAACTGACTTCCCAGAGCTAGGTGGCTGGTTCTTTGACCCAGGGCCTGAGGCTGTCAGCAGTGGGAGTTGGTCTCTTTATTAAGTTTCACCTGAAATGCTAACACCAATGATGGAATCATGGGCTGGGTTATTTTCTTGTCATTATTCTTGACTTTAATTTCTTCCTTGGCCTGATCGACAGGTAGTATTGGCGAGGGAATTTATTTTCCCTTTTTCTGACAGCTCATAAATGTCTAGAACTGACAACACGGATTATACTGGTTTGCATTCTCTTAGTCTCCAGTCTTAAAATGTGTGTCCTGCGCATGTTCAGTTGCACAGTGAAGTGTTGATCCCCACTTATTATGAGCTGCTTGGCCCCCAGTCCCAACTGGCTTAGTCTGGTGCTATTAAAAATCTTGATGTGTTTAGCATATGACACTGATTTGGTGGAAACCAATACAGTAGTAATATCCTTACAATGCATTGTAATTTATAGCGCTCCCAGAGGGTGACAGCCTTGGAATGCCTAACAGGGGCGAGTTTATGAAAGCAGAGGTCATGTGAGCTGACCACCACCATCACCAGGCTAGAGACTAGCCGCAGCTCTTCTTCGCCAGCCCTCAGCGTCACCTCTCTTCTCCACGCAGAGCAAATAAAACAGCTATTGCTGCTGTGGCTATAAAAACAAACATAAAACCCAGGCCTCTTAGTTGTGCTTGGACATGAAATTAAAATGAAAAACAAGTCTAGGTTCTTTCATTTGTAGCATCCATCCCACATGAACCTGTCACTCTCCCTCTTGGCAAGTGGAGAACAGACAGTGGGCTCCAAACTCTTTTTTTCTTAAAATAAAAAATGGACTTTCATAGGAGAAATTGTTTGGCTAACGTTTACCTAAAATGATACTAATTCCATAACTTTTATTGGGCACCATGGTAAGTGCTTTATATGAATCATCCTCATTACAGCCCCGCTGGTAGGTACTGTTGTCTTCATTTTATAGTCAGAAAAAAATGGAAGCTTCAAGAGGTTAAGCAATTTGCTCAGAATCACATAGCTGGTTAGTTACAGAGCTAGGATTTAAGCCCAGTTCTGTCTGATTAGTCTCCAACAACATACTCTTGGGAGTTGAGTATATTTAATCCTCTTTTCTTTTCTTACTAAATTTTGTTCTCCCCAGAATGAGGAGGGTCTTGTGGGAACAGGGCAGAGAGGAACACACCACTCAAACCACTGGGCCCTTTGAACAACTGACCGTTTTCTTACCTGTCTCCAACCACCCCACCCTGCCCCTGCCAGCTTGCAAAATGCTGTTCATTTTTCATTTTTAAGTATAAGTAATCTCAAAGGCTGAGCTGATTTTCACCTGTGCATTCTATGAAGGAAAATGTGGGCGGGTTTTGGGGGTGGTAAATGGGAATAGTTTCCCTTTTTTCAGCTAATTATACAAATTGGCTAATTGGCCAAACTGGATTTCTGTTTGAGAAACCCAGAAAGTAATTTACAGAGAGAATTGCCAATGGTGCATCTGTCTAGGTCGGAGCTCTTCCAGTTGGTGTTAATAAGCATAGTAGGGTCATATTTTTTTCCTACCCTCTCAGTGCTATTCATCATCCCCACCCCCCACAATGAATGTTGTATGTGTATTCAGAGGAAAGAAACTGAAGGGCCCTATAACAATGATCGGAACATCAAACCAGCCCCAGAAGAACACAGCATGTCCAGGGGGGCAGAGGCTGAAGGGCAGGTCGTCTCCCAGCGATTACATTCGGATTACCGGCTTAATCTGCTTTGGTATTTGACCGCCAGCCTAACCACCCCAGGCTGCATTTGGAGGATATTGAGCACTTTCATCCCCAAGCACTTCACCGGCTTTATAAATGACCCACTCGATTCCCTTCAGCCTCCTCAGGGATGGGACGTGGCAGCTGTTTAATAGCCACATAGCAATGTTGCAGTGTTTTAGGGCAGACAAGAAGAATCCTGCATCCAGTTTAAGCTGCAGGGAGTATTTAGGAAAGGGGAATGTAATTATCCACATTGGAAATGGTCCAGGGCTTGGAGCTCTGGGGAAAGAGGCCTTTAGGACCTCTACTTTCCACCCCACCTGAAAGATGGGGTCTCCTTTCAGCAGTCTGGGACATCAGCCTGCTTCCTGCTGACTTAGGGAAAAGCCTCCAGGCGCTGCCTCCTTCATATATTCCCCATCAGACCCTTTATAGGGTCAATGAAAGTCTCCTTTCCAAGGACTGGCCCTGGCTCAGCCAGGAAGATATGACAGCATCCCAGGGAGCTGCCTTGCACACACCAGTTTGGGTTTCACATACAATCAAATCAGAGTGACAGCAGGTGGAAACAGTGTTCTGTTGCCGTAGGAGCTGTCCTTGAGTTCAGGAACAAAGACAGGACAAGAAAGACAAAACAGAGTGTGTGTTTGCATGTGTTCATTCATGCCCACCTCCATGGGAGGAATAACAAGGACTTCACCAAATCATTTATTGGATCTTATAAGGGAATGAGGAGGGAGACTTTCTTTGTGTTCAAAGAATTTAATCCAAGGTGTTTTGTTTTGTTTTGTTTTTAAAGAACGTTGAAATAGCCAAGGGTCCAGGTTCCTGTGACCTGAGTGGCTTTTAAGGTCAGCAGTAAAGAAAACAGTAGCTGACTTTCCTCCTCCTTAGGGTACTCCTTGGGAAGGTTTCTGTTCAAAACCCAACATTCCTTAGATAAAAAAGTAGACAGGAAATCCTGGAGTCAGAATTCCTGGTCTCGTGGCCACCCCAGCATCGTGCTTCAGGACACATGATTTAACAGGGCCCAGTCTTACAGGAGCACCTCACTTATCCAGCACCAGATAGTTGGGTGTTTTTCACAAATTACGTTTTCAAATAATCGAAGCTTTTCCTTTAAAGGCTAAAATATAAAAAAGAAATGGAGCTACTTTTTAAAAAAGCAAACCTTTTAAATATCATATATGCTTATCGAATATTTATAGAATACACGTTATTAGCCTTTTATTAATGATTCAGATTCTGGCCTTGGTGTTAGACGGGAATTTTAGCTGTGGCCTTTGCTGTAGTTTCTCTCTCTGAGCCTTGGCAAAGAGTATGAATAGTCGTCATGGAGAGTGGTGGCAAGGGTTGAATGGAGAGCGGGCAGGGATGGAATGGCTATTTCTCATTTGAAAAATACAGATATTGGACTAGATGCTTTCTAAAGGAACCTCCACCTTTAACACGTTTCTTGCCCATGTGGCTTGGGTGCCCCTGAGGAAACACAACTGTCACCCAGATTTGGATGACGTGGCAGTCAATGTGTTCAACTCTGTGATGACTGTGTTCTATGATATCGCGATCCCATCAGGGTCTAAGGGTGCTGGTTTGCCCTTAGACCAAATGGTCCCACGTGCTAAATTTTTAGTTCTGATGCTGCCCTCTAATGTAAGCTGTCCTGTCATACTGTTGTCAGTATGCCTGGGAAAAAATTAATTTCCTGCCTTATTCTACACTTTATACATGGTCTGAGTGAGAATCTGGAAGTGATCTTTCCTACAGTATAGAGTGAGATACATGGGTCTTGTCACAATAAGCCACTGCTTAGAGGCATTTGTCACTTCTGAATCTACAACTGTGACAGAGGCCCCCGGAAGGCTGGCTTCCAGTTAAGCGAGAGGTATTACATGAACAGATTTGGATACACTCCCGGTCACAGTCCATTCACTTAAGAGAGTAGAAGTATTTGTGAGGGAAAAAAAAGTTGCCTATAAAGCATATTTCCAAGTTTTACTCTTCCTTATTAATTTTCATTATAAACTTGGAAATGTGTTTCTAGGGAGAATTTTTGGCCCTGAGATGTAATAAAATCACACTGCAGAATGCAGCAGACCTTATAAAAGCACATATTCGAGGGAAAATTCTAATTTTACAGCACATTTTTGTGTTCAGCTTGTGTGCCTTACTGAGAGCAGTGAGCGTGTTTGGGTTTGGCACAGCTGTTCAAAAGGTTTCAAAGAAACCCATCCTGAGAATGGCACAGCAGCTCTTACCCTGCAGCCCAGTTTAAAAAGGAGCAGACAGGACAACTATGACATGACATCAGGTACTTTCTGAGTTTTTAGCTCCTCACAGCAGCTTCAGGAAGGCTGCTGGCCTGAAGCAGCCCCGGGGCTCCCCAGGCTGGAAGACACCCAGCACGCAGAGAGGGCGGGGGCAGAGGGGTCGCCCTGATAGCAGTCACTGTGTTGGGACTGTGTCGGCTTCCCAACATCCCGGCGGGGGCTTTTAGGTGATGTCTGCTGGATTAGTCTTTTCACTTAGAATTTATATAAGGTATGTGCCTTACTTGAAAAAAACACCTTATGCAAACACTTGGGTTTTAAAACAAGGTAAAATACAGATAATTACTTGCATTATAAAAGGATGATTCCACTCTCCAAAAAATTCACATTAGACCTTTTATAAATAATGCATTTAAAACATTGTGTGTGCCTAAAATTTCCTGTAGATAGAACTCCGGGTCAATTGTTTTAAGCCAGGTACACCTGAAATAAGTGGATTTCCATATTTGGGTTTCTGAGTCATAAGACAGATCTCCCTGTCAGCTTTCACCCTTTTAATTCCTTTTTCCTTTGCACATTTTTAGAGGGAAAAATGCAAGGCAGCTCATACTTTTTGGGGTCCACATTTTTCCTGTTACCAGTAGCTGCCCTTTTGCTGACCCTTCCATGTTCCCCGTGCTTGAAGTCACACTTGGGGGTTTCTGAACTGCATTTGGCTCCTTTCAGAGATTTACTCCAATTCCCCTTTTGTCTGGGCACTCGTGATATGGGCTTTACAGGTTGTCTAATATTGAAATGCTCTACTGAGATTTCAGAGGTTGTGAGGTCCCTGCTCTGATGGACAAAGAGCCAGCTGCCACTTTCATCCTGTTCTAGTTACCTGTTGTGACATTGATGCTTCAGCAGAATCATCCTCCCCATAATCCCATTCCTTCCTTCTCTCTCCAGTGAGAAAGTGGCGTGTGAGAAGTGCCCTGGGAGCCTTGGGCCAGTGGCAGATTGAGGTGGGAGAGCCAGCACTCCCAGGAGCAGGGAGCCTGGGGCCTGAACTCATCAAGGAAAGCAATGCCAATGTATGTCTGTCTGTCAGGTGTCTTGGGGAGTCTGGGGGGAGTGGGCTGCTGGCCCTCGAGGGCAGGCACCGTATCTTGTTCACCTCCTCATTTCCAGTGTGCCCAGCTGGACACAGTGCTCTAGAAACATTTGCTTGAATGAATACCCCAAGGGTTTTGGCTTGGTCATCCCAGGGCGAGGCTCCAGGCCTAGAATGTCACAGCAATGACAGCATCAGAGGGGAGATGTATAGAAGATCTGAGGGTCTCCCATTGTGCCCCCTGGTAGAGCTTTGTGGAGGGGGGAGTCATCTCTTTCTGCCCCTCTCCAAGAACAGCCCTCGAGTTGGATTTGTCTTCTACAGCCCATCTTCATACGCAAGGACACCAAGATGAGTTTCCAGTGGCGAATTCGAAACCTCCCATACCCTAAAGATGTCTATAGTGTCTGTGTGGACCAGAAGGAGCGCTGTGTTGTCATCAGAACAACAAACAAAAAGTAAGTGGTGTGGTGGGCACCTTCCTGCCTGAGTATGAGTGGGGTGTGGGATGGGGTTTGACCTGAGGTTAGGGCTCAGACTGCTTCCTACCCTGAGGGCAGAGAAACCTCCTCTTCCAGCTCTGAGGGAGGGAGGAAGGCTGCACTGAAGCCCCAGTAGGCCCTGAAAGCTGAAGGGTTTCCTCTCTGCAGGACCAGCTTGAATAATGTAATCAGCTCCATCAGGGCAGGGAAGTTTATACAGTGTATGTCTGGTCTAGTACTTGGCACATACTGGGGCTCAATAAATATATGTTGCATGAATGAGAGGATGAGAGAATCACTTGGCCATTGATTTGAGATCTTAAGTGTTTCTGCTAAAAGATTATTGTGACCTTGACCTCTGGCTGGATCCAGGCCATGGTAAACTTGATCTAGTGACATCACTGCTGGAGCTGGCAGGGAGCCATGGCCTGGAGCGCACACTTGTCTGAGGTGGCAGTTGCAGAACTTTAAAGTCCTGGTCTGGGAGCAGCAAACTTGATCCCTCCCTGGACTGAGGGACAGTAGGCAGGTGCTTTGCCTCTTGGAAGTCTCTTGCATTATGTTTCAGAAGGGCTACTCCACTTCCTTTTGCTGCTCTTCTCATGGTCTGCTGGGGGGAGGCAAAACGTAGGGTTATGGGGACAGAAGGTGACCAAGTAGCGATCTGATCCTGGCAGGACTGCTTCTGGGCTGATCATCTTGGGAAAGCATTGATCTCATTTGGGTTTCTGGAGCTGTGACTGATCACAGAAGAGAAGAGCCTTGTAACAACTTGATTGTGACCTGGGCCAGAGGGATTGCAGTATAGGACCAACTCCCATGAATCAGATATGGGGCATTGAGATAGGAGGTTTTATAAGTCATTGGTCCACAAACTGTGAAGCCCCCCAACATGTTTCATGGTGTGCTAAGCTTTGGCCAGAAGTACCACCATCCATCCACTGTTTGCAAGCAGTAAGAAGGACCCAGCTGTTTGTCTATCTTCTCAGGTGGTGTGGTGCCAGCCTCCCCTCCCATGTCTATGATGCCCACAGGGAAGCAGCATGGCTCCCAGGCTCCCCTAGTGCAGCCATGCGTTCTACCTTCCTTTTGTGACCTCCACACCCTGTCACTTTGGCAGGGTTAAGGGGCGGGGAAGGGGTGGAAATGAATGAATTAATTTCAGGATTATTGCTGTACATGCAGCCAGCAGCCCCTGCAGTGGGCCTTGTCTATAAATATAAAGTCATAATAATAAGGGTTTGCGTTTATAAGGCACTTTGAAGCCCTCAGATAAAAGGCAGTTTATTCCTGTTATTGTTCTCATCATTAACAGGAGTCAGTGCCTAAAGTGGAATTTAGCAATTTCAGACAACAGAGAAATTGCCTTTAGGAAAACAAACTCTGTGCTTCAGCAAGCAATCCCTGGCGTAAGAGGCCCTGGGTCCAAACTAGGAATAAAAGTGCTTCTGATAGCACTTGAATCTGCAGCCCAGCAGTTTGTGGAGCTGGCTGCTGCCTCCCTTTTGTCCCCCAGAGGTCACTGTCGAATACAGATATCAAGCTGAAATGTGATTACCAGGGAGTGAGAGAAGAGAGGCTAGCTAGCTCACCAAAAAATTCATCTGCAGGCAGATCCTCTGGGTCCCATCTCCTGCGAGTGTCCAGCCATAGGTGGCGCTGTTGGCCAGAAGCTCCATGGCCAGAGGCCGACTCCAGCGCCCAAGGCAAGGGGGGAGGTACATGTTTGAACTGATGGGTGAGGCCAGGTGGGATAGGTGTAGTGCCCCTGGAGGAGGGGGCAGGGCCTGGGTTGGATTCCCACAGAGGGGAGAGGAGTGTGTGAGTGCCCACTTCAGAGCCCACAATGAGATTTAGAGTCCAGTGGCCCTGCCTGGCTCAGCACAGCCTTCCTCTGTCCCTCTGCTGGGAGGAAGGTGACAGAGGCTGTTAAACCCTCAACTGGCTCTTTCCTGAGCCTACTGGCATTTTCATCTACCTGGAGTAGGAACGTGTCTTATACCTTTATTACCCTTAAATAAACAGAACTCAATGGCTATTCTTTTGAGCGGTGTTTAACTTTTTCAAGATACTTTAAAGATCTGTTTTCTTATCATCACACTGTCCAGGGATGGACAGGGTACATACGTATTTTTATTCTTGTGTTATATATTAATAATTACGTAAGTGTATCTATAAAGTCAGCACGATGAATGACTTGCCACAGGGAAAGTTAGTGACAGGCCACTGCAGTTTCTACCACACTGTGGTTTTTCTCTCTGATTTGACTTCCTTCACCTGGAGGTTCTAATATTCTGGACTGTGGTTGCTGATAAAAGCCAGAATTCCTTTACCTATACCTGCCTTGTCCCGGAAGAACTGGGTTGGCCACTTTTCTTGAAGGAATTGATTCCTGTGTGTCATATCCTTGGCCTCAGGTAACAGTGAGGGATGAATCAGGGAAGGAAGAAAGTGATTCCCCAGGATCCTTTTGTGGCACCATCTGTTCCCAATAAGAGTGTTTGTGCAGAAAGAAGGTTTTTTGCTTCAGCCTGGAAGCTGGCAGCTGTAAGGGGAATGAGCTAGGATGGTGGAGTAGGAAGATGTCAGTTTAAATCTGGCCTCTGCCACGTATTAACCATAGTATTTTGGGCAGTGTCCTCATCTGTCACAGGAGAGTACTCATATGTACCTCATAGATTGGGGAATTTGATGAAATAGTATATGTACAAACACCCAGACCAATGGCTGGCCTGAAGCAGGTTCTTGACAAGTTTTTGGAATTGGAACCTGAAGGGAGCTTGGCTGATTTGATGTCAGTAATACTAACACTGTGGAAGAGCTTATATAGGCATTACTAGGAAAAAGGATTCTGTGGTCAAACAAGTTTAGGAAACCCTGGAAGAAGCTTTTCTTTGGTAGGACTGCTGAGAGCCTTTAGATTGTGACTGTGCATTGTGACTCTCTAGGAGGGGCTACTGTAGGCAGGGATGACCAGTTTGCCTGGATCATTAATCTTTAAGAAAGAAGGAAGATTTGCCTAATGATTCTCTAAGGGGTGGGCTGACTAGAGGCTTCTCTAGACATCTCTGGCTGAGCCTGTGTGCAGGTGTGCAGAGCAGCCCCTGGAGGTGTGTGGGCCATGGTCCAGGTGACTGCATAGCCACCCTGCTTCTACTTTCAACCTCCTCCAGAAGGCCTGGCCTCTTGTGCCCTTTCTCAGTTCACCACAGGGGAGAATGGGTTGGGAAAGGACCAGGAATTGGGAAGGGGAGATGGTAGAAAGAGTGATGGGGTGCAGTGGGTCAGTTCTAAAGTAGCCGAAGTGAAGAAGCTGTCCTTTTGGCATAGGTTGGAGAGAAGTACAAAGTTGGCCTGTTCTGGCCCCTTTGACAGTGACTTAAAGTTCATCGAGGGCGACTCCTTTATTTGAGGAAGGAATCTGGAGTAAGAAATAAGCCCAGAAGTTAAGTGGTCTGCCCAGAGTCACAGGGCAGGGCCACGAATCCTCCTGAGAGCCTTTGCTTCCACATACATCTTCTGAACACTTACATGCAGACTTATAGCTGGATCTTGGTGGCGTGGGGGGGGGTGCATATCTGCCCCATCTTGGACAGACGCAGGGAACCTAGATCAGGTGGTCTGTTACTTTGAGGTAAGAATGTAGAGAGATAGAGGGGTCAGGAGATTTGGGGGATTATCCCTGTAACAAGGGCATCTCCATTTACCAGTTTTGTGACTTGGGCAAGATACCTAACTTTTCTGTGCCTCAGTTTCCTCTTCTGTAAAGGAGGATAACGGAAGTAATCAACCTGGGAGGGTGGTTTTGAGGATTCAATGTGTATGAAATGGTGCCTGGAACAGAATAAGCATCCATACATGTCAGCTTTCACTGCGTGCCTGAGACTGAGGAGAGGGAAGGGAAGTGAGAATGGGGTGTTGTTGTGCATCAGCAAAAGCCCAGGAACCACCCCACTATAAGGGCTTAGCTTTTTAGCAGAAACACAGGTTCTCCTCAGGGAGGGATAGGCCTTGTTCTTCATCCTTAAATCTCCAGCTCATAGCTCAAGGCCTAGGACACAGTTGACACCTAAGAAATGTTTGCTGCCTACTTGCCGCTGCCTGAGGCTGAACATTTGGACTTTCCTAGAAGCACAGTGGGTCCCTCTCTAGTCCAAGTGCTGGTGAGAAAGTCAAGTGTGGTGTCTCTCAGGGCAAACCCCAAGGCCAGGGATGTAGTAGATAAGGGAGTAGGCTGCTCCCTGAGGAGAGAAAGCAGATGTCCCATACCGCTTGAAGACTGCCTGTCAGGAAAATTGTTTAACCTCAACCAATAAACTAAATCCATTAGAATAGACTCAAAACAGAGCTGAGCCTTGAGACCCACTCTGCCTCTGTGCCCCTCTGCCTTGTGAAAGGTTGGGAGAACAGAGAAGGGGCGGCAAGCCACACAACTCGAGTTCCCTTTGATCTAGTCATTGCTGTTGAGGCCAAGCCCCGGGATTCTTTTCCCAGTCCTACTACGCCAACCTGGTGTGTCCTTGTCCCTCCTTCCTGGCACACAGCCAGGTAGGCAGAAAGGACATCCCCACATTCTCCCTTATCAGTTCGGCCGAGCTGTGTGTACTGGGCTGCTTCTCTCCTGGTTCTGCTTCTTGTGTATATTTGCACGGAAGATGTTAGAAGATCTTAACACTTCCTAACAAGCCTTTGTGTTCATCTAATCTCTGCTGTTTAACCTTTGACTCCCCCCATTATCAGTGTCTGCCACCTTTGCTGGCCAGACCAAGGGCCCCAGGAAGAGCCCTCAGCCTGGGCTGGCTAGGAAGAGGATGAGGCCGGCATTCCAACCAAGTTTGCAGGCAGATGGATCGCCTTTCCCTGGGGCAGAGCTTTGGAAAATAAAGCAAACTTGTGGTGCCATTAGGATCCCCCAGCCCCCACTCCTTTTGAACTGTCAGCCTTTAAGTAAACATTCTTTTCCTGCCTTGGGTCCCAGCACCTCGGAGGGGAGTGGGAACCTGGGAGGAGAGGGGCCCTGAGAGTCTCCACTGAACTGAGGGATTTAGGCAAGGAGAGCAGGGTAGGAGTGCTGCATTGATGTCAATGCTCTGAGTCCCCAGGGCATCAGGGCTTTTGAAGTGGACTTGCGGTACCTGTCACAAGGACCAGGCCCCTCTGAAGTATTAAAAGCCCCATCCTCACCAGGCCCCTCACTGTTGAGTTTGTTTGCACCTGCCTGCAGCGCTTCCCTGCTTAGCACACACAGCCTTGCAGCAGGAGTGATGCCATGCCCAGGTCACAGGTCTGGCAGCCACTGGCCAGACCTAGTTTACACACCCACCAAGGAAAATGGCAAACGGGCCTATTGCTATAGATGAGGGGGCCATTCTTTGTTCGCTGGTGTAATAAGACCAGGATCAGGGAACTTTAATCCTGACTCCACTGGACATCTGGCTATGAAACCAGGCAAGACATTTCACTGTCTCCAAGCCTGAGTTTCCTCTTCGGTAAAGGAGGTCAAATTTCCTGCAAAACAAAGTCCAGTTACACTCATTATGGGTTGGATGTTGCTATCTGGGCTTTTCTGGGTTTTTTTTTTTTCTCCTACTAAAAGGGATCATTAATCTCTGGACTGGCACCTGCAGGTAGGTGACAGGGACTGTGTGTGGTATGTGAAGTTGGAGGAGTGGGGTCTCAGGGCCAGCAAAGGAGTCCAGAGCCTGAGAGATCCAGCAGGAGTCTGTCAGGAGTCACAGGGTTTGTTCTCTTAGATTTCTCCTTGTGGATGTACTTCCCCTCTGGCCTACAAGTAAAGTCAGGCTAACAAGGCCTTGAAAGACCCCAGAGGAGGAGAATGTAGCTGAGGCCCTCAATGAAAGTTCCATGTTAAATGGCAACTATCAGTCCCCAGCTTTGGAGCACAGCCCTGCATGTCCTTATTCTGACATCAATTTCTTGGGGTGCAGAGTTCTGGCTTGCCTGAGCTGTTATTCCATGAGGCTGCTTCTCTGTGTCTTTAGGAGTCCTGAGCCTTAAGTATGTCACTCCAGCCTGGTCTAATTAAGGAATTATGACTGGCCCTGTTCTTCTACCGCTGGCTGGCCATAAAGCCTTTCATTCTTTTTCTTCTAGGGCCACTAAGCTCTAAAATACTGGTGTTCTAACTGGCTTCCCTTCTTTGTCTTTGGCTGTGTGGAAGGTGTAGGAGAACTGTGTAGAAGCTTGGCGTCAGAGGGCCTGATGCCCAACTGTTGGGGTCATCTTGATGGGTGTCCCCATGGCCTTTTGGTGTCCCCACAGGTACTACAAGAAGTTCTCCATTCCTGACCTAGACAGATACCAGCTACCTTTGGATGATTCCTCACTGAGCTTTGCTCATGCCAACTGCACCCTCATCATCTCTGTAAGATTCGTCAGACTTCTTGGCCACTATGTCAGGGAGAGGCTGCCTCTTTCCCTGCCACTTCACGCTCCATAGGAGTCCCCAGTTCCAGCTCCAACAACCCCTGGGGTGTGCTTGCTAGAGAACATGCATCCCTGCTTGAGCATGGAACGAGCAGGTGGGGGCTGAGGGAGGAACTTGATCTTAAACTCATAGCTGGAAGAGGATAATGGGGTGAAGGTGATGAGAGGTTTTCCTGAAGAAAAGAAACCTTTGTTCTTTGGGATCCTGAGCCATGAGGCTGGTCTTAACCCTTTCCCCAGCATGCCCATCCCCAGGTTTAAGTCTGTTCTTCCCTCTCCCTGCAGGAGCAAATCATTCAGTCCTATAGGCTGCAATATCCTCATCTTGGAATAAAGGGGATAGAAGGGGCCCAGAGAGAGTGAG